AATGGAAACTACAGCAGTTTATACCAAAAAGGATATAGCCAAATATATTCAAAACTAGGATTTAAAATAAGACTGGATCCTTGAAGGTTATTTGAGAGGACAATCCCATGAAAATTAAAAAGTCTCAGTTGTTTATTGTAAGCTAGAAAAATGGATTTAGTCCCCTGAGATTAAGAATGAGGGACTGACTCTACCAAGAACCTGTGCTAGGATAAAAATGTAGGGGGGAGAGAACACACCAGATGTTATAAAATTGCATCTTTGTAAATACGCAGTAAAACTGTGTCAATCTGGCTTTCTTTCAACTGAATGCTACTCACCAATCTCCTACACTCCTGCAATATGAGAATTGAGGCTTATAATGATGACCCTGATATGACTCCTGAATCATAGCAGAAAGATTAAATTATGTTCTGCTTTGTCTTCAGGTATTTAATTACATTTTTATTAGTTGCAAACTAGAAATCTAATCTGTTTTAAAACACTGCTAGATTAATAAGAGCCTCCTTATCAGGGACCAAACCATCCTCAATAACAAAGTTACTGTAAGTTCATGGGGGAAAAAAACAAAAACCCAAAACCTAACAACTGAAGTTAAAGTGTGAGCTTTATACTATCATAGCAAGAGTAACTATTACAAAGTAAATTAAAATCATCTAACCACATTTTTATGATTTATTGACAGTGTGTTGGTTACTAATAAATGCTATGTAGCCAATTCTTTTAACAAGTACAATAATTGATATTTTGTAGTGAGAAAAACAATTGCCTTAGAATTATGAATAAATACATTTTTTTTCAGGTGTGATCGAATGTGGTCTGTTAAGGTGTCAGCAGGAGAGCAGATATATTATCAATTGAGTTGGTATGAGGATCCTGTCAAGCTGTTTCTCATTTCACCATTGGTTTCCCCAGGGATGTATATGATGGCTCTGATGACAGCAAAGGACTCTAATAAACATAAGGAATAAGGCTCCACTCCTGTGGCTCAAGTGGCTACAGTGCCAGCCACATACACCTAAGGTGGCAGGTTTGAATCCAGCCCGGGCCCACCAAACAACAATGACGGCTGCAACCAAAAAACAGCCGGGTGTTGTGGTGCACACCTGTGGTCCCAGCTACTTGGGAGGCTGAGGCAGGAGACTCACTTGAGCCCAGGAGTTGGAGGTTGCTGTGAGCTGTGATGCCACAGCGCTCTACCCAGGGGGACAGCTTGAGGCTCTGTCTCAAAAAATAAATAAATAAATAAGGAATAAGCTTGTGTCTTGGGTCAGATTTCTTGGGAGCAGAGCTAGAGGCAGGGATTCTGTGCCAGTGACTTACTAAAGGGCTCACTCTTGGCGGGAGGGGAGTGAGAGGGGCAAGAGCAGGAGGGTGAAGCTCAGCAGCGATGCCTTCTCCCCTGTGGGGAACCTAGAGCAGGAACTACACCCCAGAGCTGGTTCAGTTGAAGCCAGGGGGCTGTCCTTTTGCACCCTATTGTCAGAGAATCTGGTTTGGGGCAAGGGGGCCCTCCAGTTGAGACTTACATCAGAGGCACACCGGCCAATCCCCCCTTTCCTGCCTCCCCGGGGGCCTAGCTAGAAATGTACTTGCCTGCTTGTATTTCCTCTGCAGTTCCCTCTCCTGCCCGCTAGGATCTCGGCCTTCCCTGGCCCCCTCTGCAGTCACCCCTCTCTCCCCAGTTTTCCCACCACCCTTCATATAGCAAACATGGAACTTCTCTGACATTGTGTTAATTGTGTGACACCCAAATGTAGTGGCAAGCATGGACAAGAGGCATAGAGGAAAATCTCTTCCCAGGCTGGAGGAAGGGGACAGGGAGCTCTTGAGGCACCGGAGTCGGGACAAGGCAGTCGTGGTGTATGGTATGTACCTTCAGCAATCCTTTCTGCTGAAGACACCATTTCAGACTAATGGGAGACTGGATGGGGATGGACATGAGGGGGAGACATTGGCTACTCTGGGCTCTGAAGGAAGAGATGAGTTTATACCTATGTGTAAGTTTATATATATACACACATACATACACAGGGTTGCCATAAACTTTGTGTGCAGTTTAAAACCCTGTGTGTGTGTGTGTGTGTGT